GGAAAGAGTCCCTGATGCTCTAGGAAATTACTCTCTGGGTTCCCAGAATGCAGATGGTACGTGGGGATGTCCCCCAACCCCTGCAATAATAGCCCAAGCATCTGCCATTGGCAAGGGTCTGGAAGAAAGGGTAATAAAAGTCAGCTGATTCAACTTCACCTCATCTTCTGGAGCCCATGGACTGAGCAACACCCCATTTACTTTGCAAAATAAATGTTGACAACATCAGCTTGATGAGAAGGTGCAAGCAAAGGGGGGAGCCCAGGGCTGGTGTCTACTCCAATCCAGCCCAACGAGAGAGAGGACTCCGCCACCTGTAACTTGCATTGCTCTGTGATGAGACACTGCTGGCCAGTGCCCAGCACAGATCCTGCAAGGGACACAAATGCAACAGGCAGAAAAAGAAGAGCAGAAGCAACTGTTTGGGCGGGGAGGAAAGCTTCGGGAAGGCAGTGCAGGGGAGTGATTCAGAGTTCAGGCCCTGGAGCTGGGCAGAGTGGAGTTTGAAGCCTGCCCTGCTGCTCCCAGCTGTGTCATCTCAGGAGCACCTTCAGCCTTTCTACGTCTTGAGTTTTGCCCTTTGTACTTCCTGGGATGAGAAGTTTCAATGTGATGATTAAGGAGGGAATGCAGGGCAAGATGCCTGGCACACAGTGAGTGCTCAACACATACCGGTTATTATTACTCTCAATAATGTCGCCACTGCTTACTCTTTTCTGGCTAGTTAGCCCAATGTTCCAATAATTCCGGTATAAATGCCTGGAAAATTAGCTCTTTTCAAGTGTTTCCTTTCTTAATTTAGGCAGCACCCGCCCTCCCCTTCATTTTAAATCACTGGCATATAGAAAAATGCATGTCCTGTCTTCGCTTTCCCTGACCATCAGTTGTTACATCAGCTCTATTCAGAGCCTTACTGTCATCTGGTTTTGTCACAGTATAACTTAAAAAAAAAAAAAAATCAACAGTGGTGGGTACCTCTAACTGAGATAAAAATGAATAAAATACAATCCCTTATATTTCTACGGTGCTTTCCAGTATTGTAAATTGTACTTTACTTGTCACCTTCACAACAACACCCTGAGGTTATCAAAGTAGGAATCATGAGCCCCGCTGACAGAGGGGGAAACCGAGGCTCCAGGAGATGGAATTTATCTGATGGTCACACGGCTGGTAGGTGGTATCTGAGCTGCTCTCCTGGCTCCTAGCCCAGGCTCTCTCTCGAGATGACTCGCCACAGAAATTATGTGGCGAGTCACCCCACCCCTTCCCAACTCTGCAATATAACAGGAACAGTTCCAAAGGCTAATTAGGCAAAGAAAACTTCAGCTGAAGCCTACTAGATTCATCCAACCTTGTGCCTATGGTGCTGGGTAGGGATCAACTCAGCCCTCTAGACCTGAGTTCAAGTCCCAAGCCTGCCTCTTTCTCACTGTGTGACTATAGGCAAATTACCCCACCTCTCTGAGCTCCAGGTCCCTTCTCATCAAATGCGCTACAAAGGTTGGTGAGGAGTTTCACCAACAAAAGTGTGGATCTTGGGCCTTGTTCACCATACACGTTCAATAAGTGTTGGCTCTTATGATTACTGCTCCTCATTTTAGTGGTAAAATATCTTCGAGGAGGGAGACATTTTCTATCACCATAGAGGAAGCAGGGCAAAGTCCCAAAGTCAGTGGGTCTGGTGATGTGAGTGGAGAAAGGGGTCAGCTAACAGGTGAAGCGGGGGATCCCAGGAGCCAGGGAAGGATGACGGCAAATGGACAGGGAGTCAACAGGAGGTCCAGATACCCCCGTTAAACACACACATTCACGCACACACACACACATGCGCGTGTGCAAGCACTCTCCAGGGGACCATCCAAGGATGCTCTGCTCTCGTACCTACACGCTGAGCATCCCTCTTGATGGCTTCTTTGTCGTGCCAGTCCTTCAGCTTCTGCCCATCTCCCAAGAAAAAGGTCTTCTTTTGCTGACTGTGTGAGCCCTTAAAAAAAGACAAAAACTGTGAAATAGAAGAAAAGGGAAAATAAGTTTAATAACAGAGACCCAGAAATTACACTGCCTAAGGGAGCTTTCAGTATTGATTGAATGTCTGTCATCATTGGTTCATTTATTAATTTCCTCAGTATAGCTTTGTTAGTCCTGCTCTGTGCCAGCCAGGTGTGCAAAGTTCAGAAAGATGACACACAGTGTCCACCCTCCTGGAACTTACAAACTCATGGCAGAGAAAACAGATGGACAGACGTTCCTTTCATGGAAGAGAGAAAGAGGTAGGTGTGATGCTGTCCAACAGAAATATAACGTGAGCCACCTAGGTGAGCTGCATATGTAACTTTACATTTTCTAGTATTCACATTTAAAAAAAAATTTTTTTTTTTTTTTTTTTGTGGTACACGGGCCTCCCACTGCTGTGGCCTCTCCCGCTGCGGAACACAGGCTCCGGAAGCGCAGGCCCAGCAGCCATGGCTCACGGGCCCAGCCGCTCCACGGCATGTGGGATCCTCCCGAACCGGGGCACGAACCTGTGTCCCCTGCATAGGCAGGTGGACTCTCAACCACTGCGCCACCAGGGAAGCCCTAAAATTTTTTTTTAAAAACAGGTGAAGTGAGGGACTTCCCTGGTGGTCCAGTGGTTAAGACTCTGTGCTCCCAGTGCAGGGGGCCCGGGTTTGATCCCTGGTCAGGGAACTAGATCCCGCATGAAGAAACTAAAGATCCCACGTGCCACAACCAAGACCCGGCACAACCAAATTAAAAAAAAAAAAGGTGGGGCTTCCCTGGTGGCGCAGTGGTTGAGAGTCTGCCTGCCGATGCAGGGGACATGGGTTTGTGCCCCAGTCCGAGAAGATCCCACATGCCGCGGAGCGGCTGGGCCCGTGAGCCATGGCCGCTGAGCCTGCGCATCCGGAGCCTGTGCTCCGCAACGGGAGGGGCCACGACAGTGAGAGGCCCACGTACCGCAAAAAAAAAAAAAAAAAAATAGGTGAAGTGAGTTTTGATAATATATTTCATTTAGCTCCATATACTCCATCTAAAGTATTATCATTTCAACACAGTGGAAAAAAGTCTTTTTTTTTTTGTACTAAGTCTTCAAAATCCAGTGTGTATTTCACACTTGTGTTCATCTCAGTTCAGGCTCATTCCAAGTGCTCAAGAGCCATAGGTGGCTAGTGGCTCCATACTAGACAGGGCAGAGGCAGTGAATCTTGGGTGAGAGGTCTGGAGAAAGTGCTAGAGGACTTCGCTTCTGCCTGGGAGAACTGGGGAAGGTTTCATGGACATGGGGTCCTTTGGGTTGGGCTTCAGATAAGCGAAATGAGAGGCAGGCAGAGCACATGGCCTGGGCATAGACTTCCAGGTGCAGGTGGAGCACGGCAGGGCTGGGCTGGGCCCAAGGAGCACAGAGCACAGGAAGAAAAGTCGGGTCTTGGTCATCTCTGCAGTCCCAAAGAAGGCCCAGTCCCAAAGAGGGGGAACAGTTGTCAAATGTGTGTGGAAGGTCTGAACAAGCACTTAGATGGCTGAAAGAAAACAGGAATATATAGTAGCCACAGGAGAGCAGCCCCAGGGGCTGGGAGAGGAAGGCATTTATTTTGTGTTCCGGAAGGTGAGCCCATGCTGGGGGGCCAATTAGGAAGCAGTTCCCCTAATTAAAGGAGGCCGCATTCCAGTGTCTGGGGTCATCAGAAGGTGCCAGATGCTTTCCCACGCCAAGAGTCGAGTCTAAGGACTTGGCCCCAGGGCTCAGTAAGGAACACTGCTCCACACGGCTGTTTAAATACCTGTGTTCACCTACATGAGAACAGCTTTCCACCTCACCTTGTCCATTTAAAACCCCGCACACCTCTTCTTGTCACTGTGGCATGCAGAATCCACTAGCCCTATTTCCTATATAATTAACTAGGCCCTGAATGCATGGTGTGCTGGAACATTAGCACTAACAAGAAGCCACTGGAATAAAATCATCCCCACGCCTGTTTATTAAGTCTCCAGCTGATTCTCGCGTTAGCAGATTTTCCACAATGGCTCTAATGATAATGACAATCCTTGGCATTCCCTCTCCTACAGACCCCTCTGAGTTGCAAGAAGAAAACTCTGAAAGTGGGCCTGCCAGATGTTGTGGTCAGAGAGGGAAAGAAAAATGCAAAAACAAAGGCCACGTGCCTGCAAACAGTTCTCGGGGGCTTAGAAATCACAGGAGCTGAGCTGGAAGTTCCTTCAGCAGGTTTCAACTGTGGTGAGCTACATTTCTACAGGAGACCCTTCAGTGCTGTCTTGGGAAGGTGGAGACTGAGAGTAAGAGCTTGACTCCCCTCCTTCAATCAGACCCGCAATGCATCTGTCTGTTTTTTATACCGGGGTTCCATGTGGGATTTCATTTTTAAAAGGTCCTCTGCTAAGAACAAACTGACAATCAAGTCTCCAAACAAGTGAACACATATACTTGGAAACTGAGCTGGGGACACTGCCCTATTTCACAGACAGGGAAACTGAATCTTGGAATGGGTCAGGGACCTACCCGAAGTAAGTATTCTACCTCTAGAAGTCAGGATTAGTCGGTCAAGAGCTGGTTAGCAATCTTTCCTCCAGCCCTCCCTCCCAATCCCTTCTCCCTCTTCTGCCACCCAAAGACTGGGAACTTCCACTGACGACGTTAGGTCACTGGTGGACCTAAAGAGGTTCTGCAAACCGTGGCTGCCTTAATGGGAGGAACCAATCTAAAGTGGTTCTCAAAACGTGAACCAGGAGCATCCACACCGGTTGGGAACTTGTTAGAAATGCGGATTCCCGAGCCCTGCCCAGGAAGTAGCAGCAGCAACTCTGGGGGTGGGGCCTGGCAATCTGGGTTTTACTAAGTCCTCCAAGAGATTGTGATGCACACTCCCGTTTGAGAACTACTGGCCTAGAACGAAGGAGGCCATAATCCTGCCTCCTCTGTGCTGGTCAGGCTACACCTGGGCTATTGTATCCAAGCTGGGCAGATATTCATCATCAATGGTCACAAAAACCTTAGATGTGATCACTGGCAAACACAATCTGGTGGCTTCTGAGGATTTTTTTTTTTTTTTTTAACTGCCAGCATGAAAAAAATGGAGGGATTTCTTATTGTTTTATCAAGATTCATTGGCTTCTCCTGAAAACTCAAAAGACAGGTCAGTGCTCAGACCAAGCTGGGCCAGCATAAGGCTCTCCACTTTGCCACAGTCCCCTGCCATTCCTTAGTGCATTTCACCTGGCTCTCACCTCTCACTTGTCTTACTTTCCTGGCCCCAGGGAGTTTGCAACAGGCTGCCCCATACAGGTATGTATGAGGAAGATTAGAAACTGTGTTGTAGGAGGACTGGGAGATGGGAAGCCGTGGGGGACACAGGAGCATCTGTCTTGTTCTCTGAGGCCCTGAGGCTAGCGTGAGTGCCAAGGGCAGAAATTACTGAATGACTGAGGGATTAGTTTAAGATAGAGAAGACATTCTAAAAGTTGGACTGGTATTAGGGTGAAACAGGGGCACTTGGAAGAAGATAGAGGAGGCCAGGAATAGGATGCTTGCCTGTTCATCAGGATGTGAAGGAGGGGACTCAAGTGCGGGGTAAGGGCTAGCGCTTCTAGAACTTTCCTGTGCAGTACAATCACGTGGGGATCTTGTTAAACATGGATTCTGACATAGGAGGTCTGGGGCTGGGCCTAAGACTCTGTATTTCTGAAAAGCTCCCAGGGGATGGCTGATGCTGCTGATCCCCAAAAAACACTTTGAGTAGCAAGGGTGAGGTGACCTTTACAAAGACATTTCAAGAGTCTAAGAGTCCAGAAAGGACACTGTTTCCTCCATATGTTTGTGAAAGTCTTCTCACACTGCTGGGAACAGGGCACGGGGTTGAATCCCACAGTTGTGACCGCATAGAGGTAAACTCCCTTGAATGAACAGTGAATTGCTGAACCAACAGGGTAGAGAAGTAAGATTCCAAAATTCTGGGAGTTTCACACTTAACAGCTTCTACCACCTCACTGCCTTTGCCTTAATGATGCATGTCCCTCTGGAATGATCTGCAGAGGTGGCCTGTTTTAGGTGGTCTCAGTAGTTCTTATTTCCTCCCTAAACTAAGAGGACTTCGGAGCTTGCTGCCATAGGGACTTCTGCATGTCTAAACATGTCACTAGGGGGGGTCCTCAAATAACCAAGCTACGCAGCTGCTCAGAAACAATCAGTCCACCTGTCTCCCATCTTACAGGTGGGGAAACTGATGTCCAAAGAGGCCAAGCTACCCAACCAAGGCCACATAAGCAGGCCAGAGAATAAGAGTTATGTTCTTTGACTCCCACGCTGGGTTTTAGTGGAGAGAGCCCTTGTAGTGTGGCCTTGGACAAGCTACAAGAGTCACAGGCACCTCGATTTTCCTACCTGGAAAATAGAGACAGCACTACCTGCCCAAAAGGTACTTTCAGATCAACCGAGAAAAATCACAAACTGTGTTGTCGGGAGCACTTTCAGAGTTTACACATCAATGTGGGTACCAACTCCTTTAGGATTTTAAGAATCTACTGTAAATTGACATCTCATCAAATCACCTTGATACAGGACTCAAATTTTACTATACAAGTTAAAAAGATTTCCAATAACTAGGTCTGAGCTTTTGGTCAGAAAAGGAGTTGGTTTCGATCCTAAAACCACTGAGCATTCAGAGCCCAAAGGGCCCTTAGAATCCTATCCAGAAAACTTTATGAAAATTTTGATCAGGAGTCTCTGACATCCACCCATGGAAACCCCACAGATAGATCATTCCAACTATTGCCAAATATTTATCGAGATCTACTCTGTGCCACACACTGGGGACACAGGCATGACAACACAGATCCCTTGTAGATGCTAATGGCTTTATAGCCAGATCAGTCTCTCTCAAAGGATGGTTCTTGGGAGACCTGAGCTCTCATTATAGATACAAATGCCTGGACCCCACCCTGAACCTATTAAATCAACATATCTGGGCA